GCGGGGGGCAGGACCAGCGCGCACCCCCGCGGCGACCCCCAGCGGCTGGCCAAGGCGGCGCCGCCCGAGCCCGCGCTGCAGATGGCCAACTCGAACTTCCTGTCGCCGCTGGCGCCTGAGCACTGCCGGCCGCTGGCGGGTGAGTGCATGAACAAGCTCAAGTGTGGCGCGGCCGAGGCAGAGCTCATGAACCTGCCCGAGCGCGTGGGCACCTTCTCCGCCATCCCCGCGCTCGGCGGGCTGTCGCTGCCGCCCGGCGTCATCGTGATGACCGCGCTGCACTCGCCGGCCGCCGCCTCGGCCGCCGTGTCGGACAGCGCCTTCCAGATCGCCAACCTGGCGGACTGCCCTCAGAGCCACCCAGCGTCATCGCCCGCGTCCTCGGGCGGCGCGGGCGGCGCCAACCCCGCCAAGAAGAAGCGGAAGCGCTGCGGGGTGTGCGTGCCCTGCAAGCGCCTCATCAACTGCGGCGTGTGCAGCAGCTGCAGGAACCGCAAAACGGGACACCAGATCTGCAAGTTCAGGAAGTGCGAGGAGCTCAAGAAGAAGCCCGGCGCGGCGCTGGAGGTCAGAGGAGAGGGTTTCTTGCTCCCCGCGACCCCCCTCCTATGCTGGCCCCCCGCCCCCCGGCCCTGCAGGGCTTCCTGCCCGACTTCTGGGCTCAGCGCCCCTTGGCGGAGGCCACGGTGTTCAGGTTGTAGGAGGCGCTAGGGGGGCAGCCTGGGGCTCGGCAGTGCCACCCTCAGAGCTACACGCGCGACACCGCCCTCCTGCGGGGCGGGGCGGGGCGGGGCTGGGCGGGCGGCCCCCTCCCGGTGTCCCCGCGGGGTGCAGTGCAATGGTTCAGAGAACGACAGCGCATCACAGGCAGCCGGGCCAGTGCTGCCTCTTGCTTGTTCCAGTGCCCCTCCCTGTGTTAAAAAAAATGTGCAAGCGTTGGATGCCTCACATGCTATGTAAGTTCACTGGCTAAGGAAGTGGAGGCCCAGGTCTGACAGGGAGGACACAGATGGTGGCACACAAGCTTGTGTGTGATTCAAAAGGGGCTTTTCCTTTCTCCTCTGCAGGAGACTGTCTCTGTGTCCTATTTTATTTTTTGCCCACTCATCTGGTATTTTTTGACAAAGCAAATATAGTGTAGAAAGCCAAAGGCCATCAGCAATTTTTAAGGAGAAATTATAGAGAATTTTTTTTAAGAAGCGAAAATCCAGCCAGTTCGTTTGGGGACAGGCGATAAGGTTTGTATTTTAAAAACCTGTTTCGTAGTTTTAGAAATGAATGTTTCCTGAAACTCAGTTCCAACAAGGAAACAAAGTATTTTACTTGGGTTCTGTATTTAACAAAGTAACCATTTTGGGGTTACAAAATTGCCGTATACAGCAAGCACAGGTTTGATTGATACTTTATATGGCCAGTGATAGTTTGGTTTACTTATACCTGCCCTTAAAACACACTGTATGGATGGGCACCAAATTTTAAACTAGATTTTAATTATGTTAAATGTAGAGGTTGATGCATTTGGTGAAAGGTGCATGTGGTATCTTCCAAAACAAAAAGAAGAAATAGAAAATTGCTGGCAAATGGTTTTAGCAATGGACTGAGAAGTATGGACAAGTAATTCTAGTTAGGCCCTTGGTAACATTTAAAGAGTAGGAGGTTGGACATTCATGTATACCTGAGGCTGTAGGTGTGGGAATTTGAGGATTCTAAGGACCAGGTTGTAGGGTGAGAGTTCTCACAGGAAAAGTACCTATACATCCTCTCACAAATTATAAGCACTACTTGGAGATGCTTGCTCTATAAATAACTGGAAGTGGTCACTAAAAGAATAAAGTTAAGCTTTAAATCCTTTGTTGCTGGTCTGAGCACGTAGAAAATACAGATTTTTGTTGTTGTTAGTACAAATCAAAGCAGATCGTACTTTGGGATTCAGAAATTCAATATTATGTGGCTACCGTGAGTGATTATGACCAGTTTCATTAAAACACTGCATTCATTCCTCCTATTACTTCTTTGTGGAAAGTTTAACTTCATTGCAGCATGGTTCTTTTCTTTGATAACTCTGTTGGAGAAAAAGTCATAGTCACCACAGTGTGAGTTCACATATATTCTTAGGTGAACTCTTTTCTGGATTCATTTACTGTAAGTTCTCTAAGTTTGGAAGGCTATGAAAATTAAAATCCAGTTCATATTGAAGTTTCCTATTAGTGCTCAGTTGGTAAGGATCAGGTGACGTTTTCTCTCTTGAAATGTGGTCTACAGAGCTATAAATTTTCTGCTGCTCTTAGGTTCAGGGCACTGTCTGGACTCCAGATTGTGTTCTGTAGTGGGTCAGGGCCATGGAGTAATTCTGATTTACTAAGCAACCACTCTGCGGGAGCTGGATATGAGTAGGTTCTCTGCAGACATTTCTCTGTTGATGTGTTAGTCTAAACACATTTCATACATTCTCTTTTGATAATTTCCCATGTGCTTGATGTGATATTTAAATTTCTTCGGCATTTTGAAAGATTGTGAAATATCATAGAATTATATTCTCTTCCTTTATGAAAATTATCATGCACAAAAGTTTTGTTGCTCTTCAAAAAGTGGGATATGGCTAGGAAAGAAAGGAAATTTGCCCATTTATAGATATCTCAAGTAGTTCTGCTAGCTGGGTGTGTTGCAGACCTGTAATCCCAATACTTGTGAGGCTGAGGCGGGAGGATCACCTAGTTCCAGGCCAGCATGGGCTGCATAGAGAGTTTAAGGCCAGCCTGGATATATAGCAAGACCCTGTCTTGCTAGAAAAAGAAATGTCCCAAGTGAAGATGACTTCTTATCAGGTATAGGAAGACTGTGGACTATCGTAGAAGGCTAAGATTATTGGTGGAATACTATTTGATGGAAAGAAACAAAAAGGTGATTTTAAAAAATTGTCTAGGATTCTATCTAGGTCATTAAAAGGTGATGATGGATAGCACGACTGTTTTCAACTCACATGTAAGTAGTGGTGGAGTGAAAGGGGAACATGGGTTGTGGGTCAGTGGCAAGCTGGCTTTGGTCCATCATTACCTGGGCAGGTGTGTTGGAGATTGAGTGGATAGCTTTCTAAGGGTTGTGATTTGGGGACTCAACATGGCCATGGCTGGGGAAGTCAGGTGTAGATTCTGTAGCTTATGTTTGTTGACATGAAGTGATGGGCAGCAGTTCACCTTTGGATCACAACCATGAATTATAGTCTTAGTCACCACTGCAAGCCCCATGTGCCCATCTGCCCTTGGCTTGTTCCCATCTCAAAGACAGAGCAGCAGCAGCAGATTTGTTCAGGGTGAATACAGTGGATTAGGACAGATTCACAGAGATGTTGGGATTCTTGTCCAGATTTATGTTTAGAACTTCTCCTCTACTGTTTAAAACTATTTTAATTCTACATTAGTCAACTTTAACAGCATCTTTTATTGCACTAGCAATGTGTTTGCAGAGTCACCCTTGAAAAGTTTTCACTGTGATAAGGTACATTAATAGGTTAGTTTTCTGTGATTCCCTGCACTGTATGTTGGCAATAAGCCACTGAACATGTAGTAAATTACTGTATTAAAAATAGCCACCACTTGTTGAAAGCAGTTGTTTCAGACACTGTGTGCCCCTGGGTAGAAACTTATTTTAAAAACTTATATCCTCAGTGGTCAGTAGTAAATTTCCAGATATTTTAAGAAACGTGATTATGTATGTGTGCGGATCCTTGTGACACTGAATTGCATAATAGCACTTTGTTCTTTGGGAAAGGAATCTTTCCATTTTATTATGCACAGCAGTTAGAATTCTGATAAAAAGCTCTAACTTTTCAGAATATCCCAGTCAGCTGTAGCTGAAGGGATGCAGCTGTCCTGCGGGCAGCCCCAGCCTCAGTCCCTGAACACTGATCAGGTGGCAGGATTGATCTCAGCAGGACAGCATTAAGGACCACACAGATCTAGTTTCCCTCCCATTAGTTGATTTATGGAATCTATTTAGGAAGCCCGGCCTCTGGAGCAGCCTGCACAAGTCACACCCTCACCTCTTTATAGGCAAGAGATTCAGAAATTGGAAAATCAGTTTCTTTCCTCACTTTTTGTTCTTTTAAAAATTTATCTACTGAATGTCTGACTAACAATGATTTTTCCACAGTTAGGTTGACCTTCTAAGGGATTGATGAATAACACTCAGTTACTGTCCCAAACTTGATAAACTGGTTCAGAACAGTGGATTTTTCTGGGCGGGGGCGCATATTTCATACATATGCTAGGTTCTTAGAGCCCTCACCACACATATAGACAGAACGCCCCCTGCAAATTTTACAGGAAAGTGACATGTGCCTCCAGAGGAAATTCACTTGAAGGCCACACATAAAATAGGTGTGACACTCAAATTCAGAGTCAGTAAAATTAGTTTGTAATTGAACATGTCAGAAGTTTTTGAAGTTTGGTTACTTTTACAAAATACATGGGTAAAATATAAATAATTCATATCTTTAATTGAAACATTCTCCAGTTTGTCATTTATGTCATAATTAAAAATGAATTTTTAGCCTGGACCAGTAAGAAATGCCAATTGCAAATGTATAGGTAAGAGGAGACTGAGGCAGGAGGACTGCAAATTCAAGTCCAGACTAGACAACTTAGCCAGATCCTGTCTCAACAAAAGTCAAACAAAATTATAGTATGACATCATTACAATGTAACATGCACATAATACAAGAAAAGGATTCTAAGTTTATAAACAATGAGAGAAAAACCTCAAAGATTCAGTTTTAACAAGAGCCACACAACATGTTTGTGGCCAAAGTATTGAATAGTGATACAAGTCTAGTAATGTTCCCTTCCCATCACTCAGTTTAATCCACGGGACTTTAAGTTGTCATATAAGTTGTACATGGTGAATACATACAATTTTATCTGTCAATTAAAAATAAAAGGATTTTTAAAAAGTATACAGTTTTAATAATCCATAAATGAAACCAGTTGCTGCTTCGTCTATCCAAACATCATGTAAAATCTGTGCAGTCTTTCAGGGAATGATGAGGAAGAGACAAGCCATCAAAATCCATTTGCAAATTATATGAATAATTGTTTGAAATTCAACTGTCATCAAACAAAGCACTATCAAAAGGCCAATAAATATAAATTAAATAATATTGAACTTCAGATTTCAATTGGGTTGCATAAAAATCTTTTGCTAAGGAGAGAAAGTGTATCTGGTGATGAAGGTAAAAAAGTTATTTGACTTTTGAAGTTTTTAATGAAACATTGCTGAAGCACTGCTGTACATTTTGGGTAGTCTCAGCTACCTGTGTTTCCAGGTGAATAGTTAAATTTTGCATAGACTCACAGATTGATTTAATAAAAGAGTCTGGAGGACCATTATAAGGTGTACAGAAAGAAGAGGTACCTCATCTACCTGTTCTCCACTTACAGCATGTTTCACCAGTATGGAAACAGAATACATGAATTGGAATTCTGGAAACACCCCCCATTTTTTTGACAGGAAGTTAAACTCCCCCTATTTGAGTATTTACCAGGTTGAAGTTATATTTCTAAGAAATCCTC